TTCAAATCTGGCAATACAAACAATACATATTAAAAGAAGAGGCGGAAATGAAGCGTCTCCAACTGGAGCTTTTATCCCAATCTATTTCACACTCAGAAAAGGATAAGTTGGCATCGGTATCATATGATCATGATGCGAATTTTATAGCTAGCTATGAAAATTATGCACAATCTAAAGCAACTATAGCAAAAAATATTATGCCAAGTGCTCCAAATTTCGAGCCAGCTTGTATTTCACCTACCAGGCAACGTAGTGCAAGTGCACCTGAAATTAGAAATCTTTGGAATAATCGATCAAATATGCCTAATATTTCTAGCAGGACTACTTTAGGCGATCTTACTGAAGCATATTTCGATTCTGTGCGGACAAATGCAGGAAGAAAATAGACTTAGCTGACCCTCTCGTTCAAGAACTTCGAGGTGAATATCTTTGAATCTTTTTTCTCACCCTGCAGATCGATAGATCAAGGGGGCCTTATACTTTATTTTTTGCGAAATGATAGCTATATAATCTGCATGCATGATCGCCTAGTAAAATTGATCGAAGGCGCTATGCATGAAATGTATTACCTGCTGAATTTTCCAGATCAGTCCTTGACCCAGATCCCGAATATTGTCTTAATAAAATAATATATTGTCCAGTCACATTGCATATTGGCGTGTGCGATATAAATTAGCACATTTTCAATCCTCGTTAAAGTGCATATGATGTAATAGGTGATACTTCACAAATCATTTATGAAACTATACTTATGCGACAAAATAATTTCACACATAAACTGATCCCCAAAATATTTCAAATTTTTTCCTTACAACATTTAGCAGAATAAGATTTAGCGAAATAGCATTTATTAATATGTATATTTACTCCGGAGGGACAGAATATTTCGAGTAGAATAATATCTATATAACGTTACCAGGTCTTAGTATTAAGCAGGTTGGGTGAAAAAAAAAGTTCGTATATGCATTATCCCTAACACCTTTGTAAATGTTGAGATCTTCAATGCACATTCCACATGCTCTTATTCTTTAACACAAAATTTTGGCGTAAAGTGCCTCACATATTTCTCCTATCTCTTCCCAAACACAGAACTCGAGCTCAAAGAAATGAGAATGTGGAAATGCGAGACATTTAAAAAGGCAGTATGACGAAAAGGTATTGAAATTTACTGTACATTATTTTTTATTTCGCCTAGCAAGCTTTTCATTAATATTTACTCTATTAAAAATATGGAAGAATTCCTTTTAATAAAAGAACCCCTCGATATTGTCAGAATTTCCACAGCATTATTTGTACGAGTAGAGGAAGGTGAATGGACAGGCGTTCTCGAAAAGGAGGTGAAGAATTTTGAGAATGTTCTGAAAAGAGTCTTAGAACGAGTCCTCTCAGAAGATGTCGAGCGAAGAAAGAAACTTCAAGGTTTTGGTACCGGGAAAAAATTAGCTAAACGGGTAAGGCGATAAACTATTTTCATGACAAATATATGAATATGATGACATGCTTTTTTAGGTTTCCTAGTATGGTATAATCACTAGCGAAGAGACTGATGTCCGTTGTAATATTATTACTTCCCGCACAGTAGTAACTAGTTTTATACCATATAGCTACATATCAAACATTTTGCTGGCACTTGAAACTTTATGAAAATGGAAACCTAATCTGATCCTGCGATGTAAAATTAAATTATTTGTCAAACTAGTCTTGAGAAAATAATTTTAGATACATTTTAGGTCGTGACAGCATTCAAAGATCTATGTTCACTCTCAGAAATGGAAGCGTTAGTAATAGATACCGAAGCCTGGCATGATGATGCAAATGTGAATTTACGATCTTTGAAGCGTGATGTTGGACAATGTAAAAGTGAAAGCGCTAGTTATGAAAAAACTATGTGGGAGAGAATAGAAATGGAACTTGAGGAAATAAACGTGGAAAACCTTGGATTCGATCATCTGATTTGTTCAGGCGTTCTGGATATCAAGTCAGAACCCTTTACAGATATACCTGGGTCGGTTTCTGATATTTTTAAGGAACCATTTCGAAAATATAAGTTAGAACAGAATCATGATATAATGGAAGCTTGTAAAGAATTTATCCAAAACGAAGAATCGAAAATTAACATAGACGAGGTTTTGGGTAATATTAATTATGGAGAATGGTTGGATAAGCCCGAAGAATTGCAAGATCTAACAAAACGGATGTTAGAATCTATGTAAGTCACCAGCGAGCAATTCTTACCGAAATCTGTTTATACGATTTTTTACTTTGCTCATTAACCAATAAATATTATAGGCTCAAGGTTTGGAAATCGCCAAAATATGGTGCATATATAAAGAAGGAGAAATCGATAAATGAAGGATCATATGTTTGTGAGGTGCTTGCGCCATTATTAAATATAGTGATGAGCGATTTACCAGGAAACCCGATAGCATGGGACATATGGTAGGCTTAGCTCAAAAAGTTATTATATCTTTTGCTATAATTAATGTTTTCTAAATTAAGGGGTGAAGAAGGGAGTTCAGCTAGTGCCATACAAAAAGGTTCTCGTAAAATTACCCGAAGAGCCGATTATATGATGGTGGCCCAGTTCGGAAAAAATGCTGAACTTGAAATTGTTTTTCTTGAGACTGGTAGACCTAATTCCAGTCAAGAGAAGCGGGTTCGTGATCACAAAAAATTAATACGTTTTTCCAAGGATTCTATTGACACCACGAGGAACATAAAAAACCTTAAAAAGATATTTAACCAACCATCAAGGAGGCAGAATCTTACCATATTCACTATTAACATCGCAGGTACAAATAAATTACTTCTATTTTTTTATATATTCATAAATCGTTCATATTCTATTCTATCCACTTCTAGGTGATGTTATGGAACTTTATGCTATGCGGAAAGAATCGGGTATTTATAAGTACTGTTTAATAGAGGAAGCGACAATTCCATTGCATATGACTTCCCTAAGTGTCGTATACCTGCTTATACATGCGTTGATGACTCTGAGAACGGCCGTCGCATGTACAATTCACAAAATATTATATAGTCCCGACTCTGAGGATAGTGAACATAGTTTCAGTGAAATAGTAGTAACAGTTTCGACTCCCAAAAATTCATAGAATAGAGATTTCATACATGTAATTTTTATTAAATTATATTATTAATAAAACAAGTGTACTATATAATATTTTTTTTTCTTGGCAAATTTCGCTGACCTTGGGTCAGGAAAAATCACATGATATCAGAGTAACTGATCTGTCAGATGTGACGTAATTCGTGATATTGGCGCGTAAATTTATCCTCCCTTGATCTATCGATCTGTGGGAGACAACTTATCCTAATAATATATCCAGATAGCCTATCCTGATAGAATATTTTTTTCGAATGAATATGAGAAAAAATTGCACGCAAAGTGAGATTCCGGTCAAGATCACGTGCTTTTTGAGGATCTATATAAATCAAAGGTTCTCTCATTCTCTTTTATAATCACGAAAAAAGAATGTCATTTCGCAGGCCTCATCCAAGGCAGAGAAGAACATGTGAAGAACATAAAGCTGAGCTGGAGGAGGAGAACTATTATCTTCGTAGTGAATTGCAAACAGAAGTTGATACTAACCGCCAAAATGAAAAGCAGATCAGGGAGCTGGAACGTGAATGTGTTTATTGTGAACAAGAAATCCAAACTCTTAACGGTGAGATAGAGCGTCTTGAGAATGCTTCGAAAGAGGAGATAGCAGAGCTAAAATCTGA